GATTTTCAAGTCCCGAGGAGCTTCCGGTTGCACTGCCAACCCCAAAGTGGTTGTGCGTTTGACAGATGTAACATAACATTCGGTGGTAACTGTCCTCAGTTTCGGTGATGTCAAAACCGTGAACCCTTAGGTCACTCCTCAAACAAGACACCATTTCCTTCATCCGTCGCACGTTACGCTCGGCAAGGCCCACCGTTTGGTGACTTTGAGGTGCGGCCGCTTTGATGATCAATGGAAGGCCGAGCTTCTTGAGAACATTTCCTAATGCAACTTCGGAATCCGTGAGGATCTCGACCGACATCGAACTCGTTTCGGCGATTCCCAATTGGGCGAAGAACTTCCGGCAGTCAGCTATTAGTGTGGCATCAGTGTTCAATCCACATGAAGCTACCCCAATCAGCCCCGAACTCCCTTCGGCAAGTAACATAAACTTGTGCCTATCGATGAAAAAGAAACCTGCCTGCACTAACATCAGCTTATGATCGACTGGCGAGTTCGACTCTTTGTTTCGTGCATGGTGAATAGTTGAACGACTTCTCAAACAATGAGTGCAACGTCGATCATATGGGATGTGTCCTCTCCTACGGTGTATTGAAAGTTCCTTCTCAATCTTCTGTGAAAAACCTGGGAATGATGCATCTGAAGTTGCACAAGGCTCTGACTTCTCGTCGATTTCAATGTCTATTTCACCTTGTTTCGGCAATGGCTGGTCAAGCACATGGAGAACCGATGACTTGGTGGGACATGTCAACTTGCGATTGGGCTCATGTTTCTTACCTGCAACTTCAAAAGACTTGCACTTCAGGGATGTCATCGAATTTCAACACACTTTCACATGATTACCTTTCGAAGGACTTCGATCGGACGTTTCGGGAGACATTAAGATCGAACGTTCCGAAGCTTTTGAGGACTTGCCTGAACAGGAACTCTTTGGTGAGGCATCGGATGAGAGCTCGGACCATGCTTCGAGGGCGTGACCCATGTGGACATCTTGGTCCTTGCTTCGAGTCTTACGACGGTGGGCTCTCAACCAAGGCACGTTCGCCCAAATCTCACACTCCATCCTTCGGATATCCCCCACCCTGACATGGCAACCTTCAGGTCCAAACTCAAAGGTGGCCCCCATTCTGGTGAGTCCTGAAACGCTCAACAAATTGTGTTCAACCGGTCCCACCACTGCACGAATCTCATAGCGAACAAGTTTCGTCTTGTCGTGATCATCATGTTCGATGATGGTTGGAAAATACACTTCCAACATGCATTCATGTGCGATTTGAACTTGTTCTCCTGAAGCCGTTCTGAACTGGATTGGTGAAGTGAGGGTTCGTTCACGAAGTACACGATAGGCCGACAGCGATTCGATCGAAATCACAGTTTTGCTTGCACCTGAATCCACCAACCACAGGTGTGGATCATGCATGTCTTGGCTTTGGCAAATGAAAAACGGTTCGCAAAAATCAACCAAGACCGACAATCGACCTCCGTCTTCGATGTCTGGTTCGGACCACTCACTACCGGCTTCGGATTCGGGTTGGAACGAAGAAAACTCAGTTGCTCTCTTTCCCTTTGGTTTGCCACCTTTCGAATCTCCTTTCTTACCTTTCTCTCCTTTACTTCCTTTCTCTGTGCCTTTGCTTCCTTTGGAACCCTTTCCTTGCTTGTCTCCTTTGGCACGATGTGGACAATCAGACGAAAGGTGGCCTCGTTGATTGCATGTGAAGCAAGTTCGAGTCTCTTCGGAAGTTCCTTTTCCTTTACCTCTAGGGTCAACACCCTTACCTTCCTTTCCTTTGTCTTTACCTCCCTTGGATCCTTTGCCCTTTCCATCGCCCTTTTTGCCTTTGTCTCCTTTTCCTGATGTGTTCTGAAGTGCAGCAATTGGCTTACCTCCAACATCGGACCAAATACGTTGTTATGCTTCATATCGTAGGGCACTTTCAACATACGAGATGAATGATTCATCCGGCGAATTCAACACAATCCACTGTCGACACGGCTGTGGAAGAGCTCTCAACAAAACAAGGACCTTGTCGGCTTCGACGAACTCTAGACCTTTGATGTTGACACTCGGATCTACCAGCTGTGCGACACGTTCGTACTGGAACAATTCAGACTGGATCTTCCGGATGACTTCGGGAATAGCCGGCGCCGAAATGCTGCTGTTTGCTAGTTGTGTACGAAAGAAGAGGAGCTCTGTTCTGGTTTTGACCGAAAATTCACGGGCGATCAGTCGAAGGCACTCGAATCCACAGCATCGAACAAAACCTTTTGACTCTTCATAGTTACGAATCACTAGACTCGCTCTTGCATGGTTACTGAAACAGGTTTTCAGTATGGATAACAGTCGAACTGAACGAGTCACTTGACTAGGCGAAAGTCGATGCCACCCCAAAGGTTCAGTCTCCTTGATACACATCATGATCTCTGCGGGATACGTATTCGAGCCTAGGCCTGTCCAACTGGCCAATGAAGTCAACCGTGAAAGGAATCCAGTGATCTCCAATGGCCTCGTTTTCCATTCATCGAAAGTCGGAAGTGGCATGTTCGGCATCCATCGTTCCGAACGCTTGAATGGATTGTCTTCCCCCGTTTCACGATGCGAACCGTGAGGTGTATCGATCTGGATAGGCGGTTGTCCGACTGATGCTGGATTCGATGGCATACCTGGAAACAAACCTGTTTGACTCATTGGGATTTGGCTCAGGCCAGGCGGACGTGATCCTGGAGGACATGGCATTTGGGTATACATACTAGGTTGAGCAGCCTCGAATGGGTTCTGACGTTCTGGACTCTGAGGCATGCTAGTTGGGAATGGTTGATCAGGAATCCCAGCGGCTTGGGCAGGAGACTGATGGAAGTTTCTCCAAGGATCATTTGCCTGCCATGGATCGGACAGCTGAGTTCCAGACACATCAATTCGATTCGGGTCTAACACATTTGGATGGTTGGTCTGACTGGGCAGTGGGTTCGATTCGCTTGCTTGCCCGGGCGTTTGATGAACAGAACCTGGGTTGAAAGGTGAAGGAGGAGCTAAAGCAGGTGGATCTGGCCTTTGAGGCATGTTCAAAGTCGACTGCTGAGCTTGTTGTGTATGAAGGACTTGCTGCAACACTGGACCTAAAGCCGAAAGAGTCTGAGTCAACTGCTCGACTTGGGTTTCCAGTCGTTGGAATCTATCAGATTGCCTTCCCTCATCCCCCAACCGAGATTCTGGAGCTTCTTCTCCTCGAGTCTGGGATCGGTCTCTGGATCGTTCTCGGCGAGCTGATCGTTCAGTTCCAGATGCATCGGCCATCAAACTGGAAACTACGTGAAGTGGTCCTAGATGCAACTGTTGTGAACTAGATCGGATGGGCTCCGCTACCATATGAAAGTTAAAACTCTCGTGAACTGTTCCCCAAAAAGAACGTGAACCTTGAACAAAATTGAATGAGACCTCAAACCTATCGCGAACCCTCGGACGCGATCGTCCGATTTGCCCACCGCCCCGGCGCCCGCGCGCGTTTTTCTCGCACGGACTTGAGCCTTGAGCCAGTGAGCCAATGACGAACGGATTTGAGGCCCCCCCAACTAGGGTTGGCTGCACTCAATGGGTTCTTACGAACGCGCACTGTAAGCTAAAGGATGCCGACAGCTTGGGCTGACGCACCCTTAAATCACAGCTCTGGCGATTGTTGAGTTCGTCATGGCAAGGCTCGGCTTCGACGAACTTGGTACACTTTCTCGATTTGTGCTCTCGAGGAAGCTGGGATGCAACACTTCGGATTTGCGCATGTCATCCCTTCAAAACCGGCCAAAAACACCCTGGATGGATGCAGCACACATGCAAGCGACTCGAACGATGTTCCCTTCCGATTGTATGCATGACATGTTGTGGTCGAACGAAATGGTCAACTATGGTGACTGTATTTCACATATTAGCAATGGCCTCCACCCTAATAGCGACGGCCGTTCTAGTAGCGATGGCCTCCACCCCAATAGCGATGGCCTCAACCCATAGCGATGGCCTCAACCCTAAT